TACACATTCTTTTCAAATGCTCACGGCAGTTTTTCAAAGATAGACCACATGATAGGACACAAAGCAAGCCTCAGTAAATTCAGGAAAATTGAAATAATACCAAACTTTTTCTCAGACCACAAGGCCTTGAAACTCGAAATCAAACTCAAAGAGAAACTTCAAAAACTTGGAAACTCATGGAGACTGAACAGTACACTTTTAAACAATGAATGGGTCAATAATGAGATAAGAGAAGAAATAAAAAAATTTCTGGAAACAAATGAAAATGAACAGACAACTGTCCAAAACCTATGGGACACAGCAAAGGCGGTCCTGAGAGGGAAGTTCATAGCAATACAGGCTTACCTTAAAAAGATAGAAACATTTCAAATAGAAGACCTAACACTACAACTTGAAGAACTGGAGAAACAACAACAAATAAATCCCAGAGCAAGTAGAAGGAAGGAAATAGTCAAGATTAGAGCAGAACTGAATGACATAGAGACAAAAAGAACAATTCAGAGGATCAACCAATCCGGTTCTTTGAAAAGATTCATAAAGTGGACAAACCTTTGAGCAGACTCATCAAGAAAAAAAGGGAGAGGACCCAAATTAATAATATCAGAAATGAAAGAGGAGAAATAACAACTGATACCACAGAAATACAAATGATCATCAGAAACTATTATGAACAATTATATGCCAAGAAATTTGAAAATCTGGATGAAATGGACAAATTTTTAGAAAAGTAAAATCTTCCAACACTGAAGGAGGAAGAAACAGAAAGCTTGAACAGACCGATAACAGTTGGGGAAATTGAAGCAGTAATCAAGAAACTCCCAGCACACAAAAGTCCAGGGCCAGACGGTTTCCCAGAAGAATTTTACAAAACATTTAAGGAAGAGCTAACCCCTGTCCTTCTCAGACTATTCCAAAAAATCCAAGAGGAGGGAAGACTGCCAGACTCCTTCTATGAGGCCAGCATCACCCTGATCCCAAAACCAGATAAAGACCCTACAAAGAAAGAAAACTACAGGCCAATTTCGCTGATGAACATAGATGCTAAAATCCTCAACAAAATATTGGCAAACCGCATCCAGCAATACATTCAAAAGATTATCCATCACGATCAAGTGGGATTCATCCCAGGGATGCAGGGATGGTTCAATATACGCAAATCAGTAAACGTGATACACCACATAAATCAAAGAAAAGACAAAAACCACATGATCATCTCGATAGATGCAGAAAAAGCATTTGACAAGGTACAGCACCCATTTATGATCAAAACACTCAGCAAAATGGGAATCAATGGGGCATTCCTCAACATAATAAAGGCCATATATGAAAAACCTACAGCCAATATCATACTCAACGGGCAAAAACTGAAAGCTTTCCCACTAAGATCGGGAACACGACAAGGATGTCCGCTCTCACCGCTTCTTTTCAACATCGTATTGGAAGTCCTAGCCACAGCGGTCAGACAAGAGAAAGAGATAAAAGGCATCCAAATAGGAAAGGAGGAAGTAAAACTATCATTGTTTGCAGATGACATGATAGTGTACATAGAGAACCCTGTAGACTCTACCAAAAAACTCCTCAACCTAATAAGTGAATTTGGCAAAACAGCAGGATACAAAGTCAACATTCAGAAATCAAAGGCGTTTTTGTACACCAGCAATGCAATAGAAGAAGAAGAAATCAGGAAAAATATACCATTCGATATAGCACGAAAAAAGATAAAGTACCTAGGGATAAATTTAACCAAAGACACAAAAGACCTGTATGCAGAAAACTATACAACATTGAAAAAAGAAATTAAGGAAGACACAAATAAATGGAAGCATACACCGTGTACATGGATTGGAAGAATTAATATCCTTAAAATGTCCATACTACCCAAAGCAATTTATAGATTCAATGCAATCCCTATTAAGATACCAATGACGTATTTCACAGAAATAGAACAGACATTTCAAAAATTTATATGGAACCATAAACGACCTCGAATAGCCGCAGCAATTTTAAGAAAGAAACACAAAGTAGGAGGGATCACAATACCGGACATCAAACTCTACTACAAAGCCACTATACTCAAAACAATCTGGTACTGGCACAAGAACAGACCCATAGACCAGTGGAACAGAATAGAAAGCCCAGAAATAAGCCCAGGTCTCTATGGACATCTAATATTTGACAAAGGGGGCAGAAGCATAAAATGGGGCCATAACAGCCTCTTCAACAAATGGTGTTGGGAGAGCTGGATGGCTACATGCAAAAAATTGAAATTGGATCATCAGCTTACACCATACACAAAAATAAAGTCAAGATGGATAAAAGACTTAAATATAAGTCGCAACACCATCAAAGTCCTAGAGGAGCACATTGGCAGGAAACTCTCAGATATCCCACGCAGCAATTTTTTCACTGATATGTCTCCTAAAGCAAGGGACATAAAGGAAAGAAGAAACAAGTGGGACCTCATCAAAATAAGAAGCTTCTGCACGGCTAAAGAAAACATCAGCAAAATGAAAAGGGAGCCAACCCTATGGGAAAATATATTTGCTAATGATACATCAGATAGAGGTTTGATCTCCAAGATATACAAAGAACTCACTCGACTCCACTCCAAGAAGACAAACGATCCAATCCAAAAATGGGCAAAGGACCTGGGCAGATGCTTTTCTAAGGAGGAGATACAGAGGGCCCAGAGGCATTTGAAAGGATGCTCTGCATCACTAGCCATTAGAGAAATGCAGATCAAAACCACCATGAGGTACCACCTCACACCGGTCAGAATGGCCATCATAAACAGATCCACAAACAACAGGTGCTGGCGAGGCTGTGGAGAAAAGGGAACTCTAGTCCACTGTTGGTGGGAATGCAGACTGGTGCAGCCACTGCGGAAAGCAGTGTGGAATTTCCTCAGAAAGCTGAAAATGGAACTGCCTTTTGATCCAGCGATTCCCCTGCTGGGACTATACCCTGAGAACACCAAAACGCCAATACAAAAGAACCTATGCACCCCAATGTTCATAGCAGCACAATTTACAATAGCCAAGTGTTGGAAGCAACCTAAATGCCCATCAGTAGATGATTGGATCAAAAAATTATGGTACATATACACAATGGAATACTACGCAGCAGAAAGAAAAAAAGAAGTACTAAACTTCGCAACAGCATGGATGGAACTGGAGAGCATCATGCTAAGCAAAATAAGCCAGGGGGCGAAAGACAAATACCATATGATCTCACCTATAAGCGGAACCTAACCAACAATGCAAAGAAGCAAGGCAAATATGAACAGCAACACTGAAAGGAAAAGAAATCAACAGAGACAAGAGGGAAGGGGGGCAGGGAAAGGGAAGGGAAGGGGAAAGTCAAGGAACATATAGCAAGGACTCATGGACAAAACCAAAGGGGAAGAGCTGAGGGAGGGAAGGTGGGAGGGGGCAAGGGAAAGAGGGGGGGGAAGGCAGAGACAAATGTATTTAAAAAGTAAATAAATTAATTAAAAAAAAGAAGAAGAAAAAAAAATAAATAAAAGCTATAATGTAAAAAAAGTAAAAAAAAAATAAATAAATAACTGGTTATATGTGTGAGGTGAGGAAGGGGTAAGGAGGGAGCAGAGTCCAGAATAACTCTGAATACATAGGAGCTTTGGAAGCAAGGAGGAACAACAATAGAAAAGAAAGTTTTGGGGTTGGGATGATGTTCAGGTTTGGGATAAACATCCCATAGGCTTCAGGATGCTTATGAAACATTCAGATCAAGGAATCAGTTAAGCAGCTTGACAAAGGAGCAGGTAAGGGGTGGGGCAGAGTGATGAGAACAGTCCCTATACCTGAAATGATTCATCCCTACCTCTGTTTAAATCATTCCTACTTGAGAAAGTTACTGGGATGAGAGACTGAGGTGTGTATGTGGTATTGGGGATGGTTAACAAAGTAAGAACCATTTCCCTAGCATGCTGGGGTGTGAGATCTGGGAAAATAAAAAGTAGAATCAAAAAAACCACAAAGCAAAAATGCTTATACTTTTCTCCCAAAACAATACAGGGCATGGTGTCCCCATGCGCTACACTCTCGGTGTACAGACCTCAGGCTTGATAATGCACTGCAGGTTACATAAGACCTGTACCTTACTGTCTTTGTAGTTTTTAAAGAATCTAGAGAAGTCTAAAAATGCTTGTCATTTTTTCAGGCATCCTTCCCATTTATACAAGAAGTTAAGGAATTCTTTCAAAGAGGCCCTTTTAGATTTAGATTGGGGCTAGCTCAATGTAAGATATCTTCATTAACAGAGTAACTTGCTAGTTTTATCCAGAGAAGCCAAAGGGAGGGCAACAGAAGTAGTGAAGGAACAAAACAAACAAGAATGGACAGTGACTGCACATGTGTCTAAAACTAGTTAGTAGTCACGAGCCTATTCTGATCAGAAGAATCCTTCAGATGAAAGAATAAAATATTTTGGTTTGAGGTTCATTATAATTTAGAGTGGTTAATTTCCTCCTTAACTTTCAGTAGCTTGAAAGACAGAAATAATAAAGACAGAAATAATAAACATACCAATATAATAAAGGGTTTTATAAAATTTTTACAACTATTTTTTAATTGCTGAAATTTAAAGTATTTGTTTTTTCTAAAAAATTTTAAAATCTATTCTATAGAAAATTAAAATGGAATGTTTAAAAAACTAAAACATACCTTAGCTAAAAATGGCCATATTAGATGGATTTAGGCCTGGCTTTGTTTTCCAAACTAAAATGTAGAAAATGAAGATTCTTCTACACAACACTATCAAAATAATTTCTTAATGATTATAACTTTTCACTTATATGAAACATGCCCTTTGGGGCTTAATTGAGAGTAATAGGCTTTCAGTGTAGCTGTAGTGATGATTAATCAACTTACCTATCTGATATTTAGCTTTCAGATACTTATAATGACATGAAGAAACAGCAATAAGGTAGGAATTCAGGCTAAGTATTTGAAAATCAACAGCAAAGGCAAAATACTCACGATATGGCACTTCCAGAGGATGCCCTGTTACATCACACCATCCAATTGGGTGAATGTCAGGGCTGTCTGCGTCCATCCAATAGTCATATTTGTGGTCCCAGCCATCAAAATGAACCTGTTGAATAATTAGTACTTAATAATTAGTTTCAGTATCCCTGTATCAAAGTATTGGAAAACAGATCTCCAAAACTTTGAATGAAATTTTATTAGTCACATATTATAGCTGAAACAATATTTAAAATGCGCTATCCTTCTACTTTAGTTGCCAACGTCTGTTGTACCTTTTTTTCTAAGAATTTAAAGAAGTTGGTAAACAAACAAAATTGTTCAGAATTGATTAGAATTTGAAGAGATAAGACCAATCAATTCTCCCAACTGAGAAATGCTGTAAAGATATTCCCTGTCCTGGTAGCCACCACAAGAACCATGTCAGCATCATCAATGAAAGTCACCATTTGACATAAGTACAAGCCTTATACAGATAGGGAATGAATAAATTAGAATAAAAGGAAGCAATACAATTCAAAATCTTAAAAAATAACGGGAGAGTCATTGGAACAACAGAGATAAAGAGAGCAGACAAAATGTACTACTAAGGTAGATGAATAATAGTTATCTTAACAGCTATTAAGTATAAGCTTTCAGAAAACCTGAGGAAGAGGTACGACCCAGGACCAGCATCCTACTGGTTATCACTGTTTTGCATCTTACCTACAAAATACATACAACACACATGCAACACACATGGCACATATATACAAACAGGTCTGAGAATAATTAAAATAAAGTCCAATTTCTGAAATAAAAACCAAATACTTAGTTTTGAAACTTATTAAATTCCATGTTTGAGAAGCTTTATATTGAATAAGAATATTTATATGTGCAAAGAATAAAAATTATAATGTGTCATTATTTTATAACTATTCTCATAGTTTCTATCAATTAAATGGAGAATGTATCCTGTTCAATGCAAAAAATCTCAAAGCTTTTGGAAAACCATATTTTAAATAAAAAGAGAAAGATGCCTAGCATTATAATAAACCAACTAAAATATAAATTTATTTTTCAGGGCACAAGACTAGGAAAAAAAAAAAAGAAAGAAAAATTGTGTGTATTAAGTCCCAAATGAGTCCCACTATTTTTCTCAAGATCCCTCTTTCTAAGCAAGTTGTTCTCAATGTCATTCCCAGACCAACATCAGCATCACATGGGAATGTGGCAGAAATTCAGATTCTTGGGCTGCAACTCAATCCTGCTGAACCAGAATTCTAAAGGGTGGGGCCTAACAATCTGTGCGTTAACAAGTCTTACAGATGAACACGATCTATGCAAAAGTTTGAGGATGAATGATCTTAGAAATAACTTTCAAAAGAATATTTCTACCAGATTTAGGATTCTAGACATGACAGAGTGCCCTGTCATAGTAATAACTATAAAACTGGATGAAATACATGAAGTGACCGTTTTTAAACTTTATGCAATAAGCAGCACAGAATTGTCATCCCGAAGTACACCCAGCTGAGTCAGGACATCAGTGTGGAAACAATTTCCTGATGACAGCACAAGGAGGAGAAACACTAACAAAGCAGTTATATTGTGCTGAGGAGACAGAGATTGCTGGTCAGAGCTGATAAAGCAGCTGGAAAATGGAGGACAAAGTTATAGAGAAGATAGAGAAGAGTAGATAGACTTCTACTACCTAGAAGTCTATGGGGGTTATTCATAAGACCTAGGTCAAAGGCTGGACAATGCATGTGCAAGGTAAACCTTGGTGAAGCCAAGGAGATAGCAGTTGACACAGAGCCGCGAGTAAAACAAAGATAGTAGAGGTCACACTTCACTGGGAGAACAGAGAGACCAGAGTGTAAAGATTTCAATAATATCCTGAAAATTTGACTGGGAAACCAAAAAGGTGGTGCTTTTGGAGTAAGAACGATGCCACTATAAAAGCTACTTTAGACCAGCCCTAAAGGCTTTAAAAAGGCTAAAATTAAGCTTCAAGAAGATTTAGAAGAATCTCCAATAACTCACTGTCTGATAAAACAAACTCTCCCCTTTTTAATGGAAGACAAATACTCTCAACTGTGTATACTATGTCATTCATAATGTCCAATACAGAATAATTTATTAGGTATGCAAGTAAGCAGGTGAATGTGAGCCATGGTTAACTTTTAAAAATGCAGTCAAACCCATCAACTGTTGTACAGCTTGTAGGAGTTCAGCATGTGAACTTTACAAGCAGAACTTCAATTATCCATGTGTGAAAGTACAGACTCTGTCACTTTTAGATAGATCCTTGAGATATGACTTGAAATGACTGAGTGTAGTATCCTCGTGCAGCATCTAATTTGTTGGCTCTTCCCCACCTTTGAGCAGGGAAATATACAGAGACAGGTAGCATGAAAACAGAGAGAGACATGTACAAGTTGAACTGCATGCTGAGAGGCATCCACTGTCAAAATGTGATACATATTTAAAATTTTATAGTTTTTAAAGTTTTTAAAAAAATAAAATTTTATTTATGCAAAATAAAAGTTTAAAAGTTCTAATATTCTAAATACCATTCTTTATCTTATATTGTGATATATCCATTCAATGAAAGGTTTTCTTGGCCATGAAAATCATAAATCTTTATGAAAAACATATAAGGAGAAGGGTCAGCAACTCAACACAATTTTATCCAGTGAAAAGATTTAAAGAGGATATTGGATTTTGGCTTATTATTATACTATATTAAACAATATAATTACAAAAAATTTAAAGTGCAGTCAATAGAAAGAGACCCTGAGATGACCCAGATGTCATAATCAGCAGGCAATGACTTTAAAGTAGCTATTAAAATATGTTCAAGGACTTAAAAAGAAAAATGGTCTTAATGAGTGAACACATAGCGAATCTCAGCAGGAACATGGAAACTATGAAAGACAAACAAAGTGCTACAACTTAAAAGTAAAATGTCTGAAATAAAAAAAAAAAATTCTGGGTAGGCTCAACAACAGATTGAAGATGGCAGGGAAATGGGTCAGTGAACTTAAAAACAGATTCATAGAAATTATTAAGTGAAAGTGTACACAATAAAAATTTTTAAAATAAGCACAACCTCAGGAAGTTGTAAGCTAGTATCAACTGGTCTAATATACATGTATTTGGAGTCCAAAAGGAGGGGATAAAGGGAGAATGAAACAGGAATAGTGGTTAAAGAAATTCAATTTTTGTTATAATCAAAAACTTGTATTCTTCAAATTATCATTAATTAAAAAGGAAAAAAGCAAGCTACAGACATCTGTAAAGAATTTATCTAACACAATCTTGACCAAAAAACTCAATAAATTATGGGGAAAAGATTCATAGAGTCTTTGAAAACAGAAGATACATGAATGGTCAATAAGCAAATTATCAATAAGCAAATTCAATATCCTTTTGAGTTTGCAGCTCAATTATTTATATTTCAAAAGCAAGCAAGCACCCTCTAAGCACAAACAAGTCAGATCGCATGCTCTGTGTCAAGGAGTAAGACCTTTCTATTTCAGGTACCGAGCCTGCACTCCTACTGAGAATCCTACTGTAAAACTGAGTCTAAACTAAAAAGTGAAAAGACAACATCTTTAAAAAATATTTTTGAAAGCTGATAAAATGTTTTTATGTACTCTATTCAAAATTTTACCTTATTTTCATTAAGAAATGTTAAATTATCCTTTCCAAGGCTGAATGTAATCACTGACAATGAAAGCATGGAAATTAAAAATACTCTCTCTTAATCAACAATGAGATAGATGCTCCCCTCCCCGACAAAGGCAGTCTAAACTTGGAATATATAATGAAAATCTGTATCCAGATAATCTTTATGAAAGATATTTTCCTATCTTTGAATTTTCATATCTCTGGAGTGAAAATCTAATTTTAAGAATTCTAACCAGATGGTCAAATTAATGGAGGAGATTGGCATTTTAAGAATATCTACAGTCTTTTTTTAAAAGCAAAGAATCATTTTGAAAACCAAATCATCTCCAGCACTGTATTTCATAATATTTATATTTTTTTCACATATTTTGGTTTGAATAAAGCTGCATAAGCATATAGGTCCTTCTTACTCAGATTTTGATAAACTAGAAGACAAAGGTCAGACAGCTGAATCAACTACTCTCGCAAGTTCATACCCTCAAGAGGACAGTGATGCTTTGTGATAGTACTAACATCATATGCATGAGTGTTTAATGACTGGGAAAATAACTTGGACATTTAAGAACTAGATCAGCAAATAAAAGCCAAGGACACACTCCTTCCTTAGCATAAACCCAAAGCTGTCAATCCTTTAGACTGACTCCTTGCTTTGTTTGTCTTTTCATTTACTGCTCATTGCCCACACAGGAACTTTCCCTTGAGCTTTGCTACTTTGCCTCTTTGCCTCAGTCATTGTTGCTGCCTCCATGATTCTCAGCACTGTGGCTTACATAGTCAACCCTGAAAAACCACAGGGTGAATGAGATGCATGATGGTAATCATTGATCCTTGCTGTTCCTGTGGGCAGTTGGAAAATAAGCAGTTATCTATCTAGGAACACTGGAGCTAAATTTAATGCTCAATACCAACAATTTTATTAGCTTAAGTTATTATTAGATTTGTTTGCTCCTCTTATATAGTTTTTAAAATTTTAATTTCCATTTTAACAGGCTTATTGTATATATGTATTATACTGTCACAGGTCTCTAATCTATTTTAAAGGCTCATGGTAAAAGCATTATGAGCATATAAATGATGTTAACTTAGTTAGAGAGTTGACTGTACCTGAGCTCTTCTAGCTTTAAATGAATACATTTTCAGTTAACTAAACTTAGCCTTAAATTTTATTCTAAAAAGATGAACCAAGCCTTTATGTATTATCCCAATACCACTTACTCATAAACACTGGTGCTAATAAGACTACAGTAAATCTTACATTCTACGATGCAGGCTCTACTGTGGGATGGTGTGGTGGAGATGCAGGAATAGTGCCGGAGCCAGACATCTGTTCCACTGCAGGTCATGCCTTCACAAAACACCACCACAGTTCAAGTGCAAGTACCGGGTATAGCAGGGGGTTCATTTTTATTGTGTTTTTAACATTCCAGGCATAGA